CATTCCTGTTGCCTTTGGAAATCTTAAGGGATAAGGGTGAAAGCCTTGTAAGGAAAAAGCACATGCTTGTAGCTGGTTATGCTTGCAGCAAAGCTTGCCTTGTTTGTGGCATAGAGTTTCAACTCCCAAGCCACCCTTAGAACCTAGAAAACAGAGAAGCAAGAAAACATGGGTTATTTAACTGCTTTGTATGAGGAATTTTAATGCTTCTTAGTAGCCTGAGTGCTGGACTGTTGGAACAGCTTGTGCCTTAAGTGTGTTCCACAGAAAGAATAGTTATCTTTCTCATACCAGGGTGTAAAGGTTAGTAGCCTTCCTCAAATGTTTGTAATCCTGCTGTTGAAGTCACATGTAGTGAAACTGATAGTGATAGTATAATCTTGCGTTCTTTGGAGTGCTCAGCAGAGTAATAAAAACACAGCTTAAACAGCTTTTACACTATGACTTAAGGGCATATTTGCAAAGGGGAGAGATAATAAAAGAGTATGTATGCAGTGTGCAGAAAAACTCAGCATAATTCACAGACACTAGAAGTATCAACAAGACAAAGAATCAGTATCTCTTTTTGCAGTGTGCAGAAAAACTCAGCATAATTCACAGACACTAGAAGTATCAACAAGACAAAGAATCAGTATCTCTTTTTGCCTGTGTTCATGCTTATGCCAACTTTGAAGCTTTAGAATACTAAACAGAACAGATTGGGTTGGTGCCCGGGGATTGTTCAGGGAGGTAAATAGCTTTCATCAGGGCTGCAGAGAAGATTAGATCAGGTCAGTCATTTGTGCTCTCCTCAGTGTAAGGGTTTTTTTATATTCGGAGGTTTTTTTTAGGCCCGTATTTTGTTATCACACAGCAGAAGCATTACATTTCTTGCCACTTGCAAAAATGTTTGGGACAAATATATACTTCTTACTTCTAGCAGAATACTAGGTTACTAGGGAAGAGAAACTAAGACTGTTCTCCATCTTTGTCTGAGTCTTTGGCCATCACTGAAGTTTTGCTCATGTGCAGCTAACAGAGGTGTGGCTCAGCAACTTGCTTGCTGTGCATTAAAACTTCAAATCAGGACTAGATTTGCAAGCTTGCTAGGAATTGCAGACTACCTTACTTCTTTGTTATTTTAGTAGCTTTATATTTCTCTTTATTTGCATGAGTGTGTTTCTGGTTGCTTCCAAGATGTGGATGTGAATCCCACTCTTTCTACCCAGGCTGGTATTCCACTGTTCAGCATTTAACTGTTTAGCAGCACTGAGGATAAAGGGCTAGAGGGAGAGTGGACTGTGCTTCCTCTCAACCATAACAGAAGGGAACACCTTGCCCTAAAGGGCAGGGATTCCTGTTACCTGAGCAAGCTCTCTCCCTTTCCCAGGTCTTATTCTTAATCATCAGCTTACTTACTGTTTTGTTTAATACTCAGCCATGTTTGTGTTTCCTCAATGGTTAATGTACTCACCTCAGAAAAATAAGTTTTGAAACCCAAGCTCTTGCTACTTCATCTTTGGGGAGCTACTTCATAATTTAAAGGGGAACCAGATGTGCCTTGATGAAGCTGAAGTCCTCCATCCTCAGAAGTATATCCTTGGTAACTATTCAAGACATGTGTAGTGCTTATACAGTTGGAATAAAAGTACCTTAAGATTCATGCAACAGTGCCCATAAGTAAAATCCTGAAGTTCCCTGTGCTTAGAAGAGATTTCAGAGTGTCTTTAATGTGTTGTTATACATAATCTGAAGTCAAGAAAGCATAATGAAATGGCATAATCTGCCATGTATTATATCAAACAAATGGGTCTCTGGTTAGAAAGTCTGCAGCATAGAAGAGACTCAGGTAACGAAGTGAAAGATTGGTGCTTAGCTATTTTTCTAGTTTAGCAGTATGTGCCAGCTAGTTAATGCTTGCTAATGGGAGGTCTAGGAAGCTAGAGGGAATGTGCTTGTGATATTATATTTAATCTAAACTAGTTCCAAATATGGATTTTGTTCACCATGAAATCTTTGCTTTTGAAGTTTCAATTCTTCTAAATGTTAGAGGACACAGAAGCATAATTAGTTTTATCTGGAGGAACTGCTCTAGTTGTGTGAAACTTCAGAGTTAAGTCTCTTCTATTCTTCTGCAGTCAGTTTTCAGAGCCTGACTTGTTTCACTTTGCCCCCATAGAGTGTTCCATTGGAAACAGTCTAACACAGATTGAGGCCAAACAGCCTCAGTTGTATAACCAATCATGCCATTCTGCCTTCTCACTAGCCAAAGCACTATATCTTGTTCTGATTGTTTTTATCTGTTGGGTACCACCAGATAGTAATTACATAACAACCTGATGATTAGCTGAAGTACACACTGTAGACTGTAAGTGTTGCAAAAAGACAGTTAATCTTCCTTCTCTTCCTGACAACCTCTTGTACTTCTGTCATTATCTTGGATAATAGATGTCCCTAGAAAGTTAGGGTATGAGGAATGTCTTCAGTGCTGTAGCAGTTCCTTCGGGATTTGCATTCGATAGAACAGTGCCACTTGGCTTGAAATAAAGTGCTTCTGGAGAAGATAGGAGGCTGTACTGGAGGTGGTGTAAGCTTCCTGCAGGGTGTGCCTTGGTAGCTGTAAGTCTGACAAGTTGATGTGCCTGGGTGTCAAAGCCTATCTTCAACATCCTTTCCTTGTCTTTTCAGAGGGGAGCTACATCTGAGGCTGTGTGTGCTGTATATTCATAAGTGTCAGGTCTGACAACAGTGATCCTAAACATCACAATTTCAGCCAAAGTGAAGGAAGAGAAAATAAATTCAGGCTTCCTGTACTCGCTCAGTGGTGACTGTATTCTACTCAGTCAGTGCTCGCAGATAAGCAGGAGGAAAATCCAGCCAAACAATCTGAACATCTCTTTTTGGGTTCCTCAGTTCACTGGTTTGGAAAGAAGGTGTCCATGTTAAACAGTACCAAACCCAGGTTTTATCCAAAATAATGGTGTTTTTCAAGGCCGTCTTTTGTTGGGTGATTCTCCTTCAATACAAGAAAATAGCATATCTAGGAATTTGCAAAGTAAAAAAAATGTGTAAAGTAAGGTTAATGGTTAGTAGTGTGTTATGGCAAAATACACATTTAAAAGACTGCACAGTGGCCCAGCAGTCATGGCTGCCATGGAAAATGACTGCCTACCTTGTTTCCATTCTCTAAACAAATGGTAACACTTGAGACTTAGAATTAACTGGCATTAAAGCAAAGAGCTGCGTGCAAGAGGGAGAGGAATTGTGTTTTTTGTTGGAGCTTCATTATTTCTTCTTTCCTACCCTTGCATTCTCCCTAGTGTAATGGTTTAAAATAATAATAAAAAAGTACAAAAATTTGTGGTCACTTTGAAGAGAACACCTCAAAAGCTTGAGAAATAAATGGACAGCTAACATCAGAAATTCAGACATTCAGAGTGGATGCAGAACAAGGGTGTGTTCTTACTTTATATAGTAAGAACTACAAATCTGGACAGGTTCTTGGTTTTTTTTTTTCATGACTTAATTCCTTGGCAGCAAAACCATCTTGTCAGTGCTGTTAACTAATGACAGTTCCGGGCTAATTGTATGAATTCAGTGCAGCTCAGACCTCTTTTGTATTCTTTGAATGAACCTTATTCTCTACTGGAATGAGGGATGAGTGAAGTCTCTTTAGTATGTTATCCAACATAAATAGCCCCAGAGTTAGCAATCCACACAGTGTTTATCTTCTGTGATACTTGGGCCCATCAATGACATAGGCAGGAGCTCTGTTGTGGGCCAGACTGTAATGAGGGAAAGATCTAAATCTGGGGTTGGAAACAACAGAAGTTGAGAAGAAAGAGAATCAAATTACAAAAGAAATTGTCAGTAAAGGGCAGGAGTGTTAGCTGGAAACAGTTATAAGAAATAGGAAAATATTTCAGCTCTGAATCACATGCTAATGTTAATTTTTAATATGAGAGCAGAAAAGATCATGAACTTTCAAGATGAACAGTTTCTTTTCCTTGTGCTTGTGGCTTGTTTTCTCGGGGGAAACTTGTGTTCCGTGTGTCAGTACTTGAGGTTATATGATAGGGGAAAAATTAATGGTGGCAGTGATTTCAAAACAATTTCTACTGCCTTATTTTCATTTTTCTTCCCAGTATAAAATGATAGCTTTTAGGTGACTCTGTAATGCTGTGGGTCTGTTGCTTAGTAAAAATATAACACAAGTTGCCTTGGCTTAATAGAGTTGAGTGTTGCAGTTGGAAAGTAAAGTGAGTTGTTAACTTCAGTAATCTCTAATGCTCTAATATCTTGCTCTTAAAGAATTGATTGTAGGAGAGTTGTTGAATTTCATACAGCCAGTCCTCCACATCGTTTTTTAAATGCTTTTTAAAGTATAAATCAATAAAATATATTTTCCTTTGCATGGTCATTTTTGTGCCTGGCTCCTGTCTTTCCTTTATCATTCTGCAACTTAGAGCTGTAGATGATACATGAGTTCTACTGTCCTTATAGATTTCAAAGCACATTATTTAGTGAGGCTGTCTTTATTAAAACTGAGTAAAGCACAAGGTAACAAAAAAACTGATGAAAAAAAAGCCTCAACCTTAGGTCATTCCACCTATTTTATTTTGAATCCTTTGTTTGAAAGATGGGTTGTCTTACCTCTCATTTGGGTGAAGAAAATAAAATTGTGTAAATCAAAGACCTTTTTTTTTTTTAATAAACAAGAGAAAAATGTGCTTGCATGTGCCATTTTTATTTGTTTTGGTTGGTTTTTTGTTTCATTTTTTTGTGGGGTTTTTTGTTTGTTTGTTTTTTGTTGTTTTTTTTTAATAGATTTGAATCCAGCTTTCTCAAACTGCCTCCTGATTTAGTAATTTAAATAATATGAGTAGTATTGATGCTTCCAGCCTTCTTGTTCCTCTGCTACTGTGACGAATGGTCATCCATGACACCCTCCAAACACACAACAATATTTCTTTTGTACTGTGTGATCAAAACTTAATTTACCTGTTTTGTCTTTTAGGCAGAAGTAAGTCTAATATGGGTTGGACACCTCTTCACCTTGCTTGCTACTTTGGACATGCTGTTGTGGTAGAGGATTTGCTGAAGGTATATATCTATTTTCCTCTCTGTGTAAGGCTAGAAGCAGTTAGTGTTCAGGTTTTTGTGACAGAAGAAAGGAGGCTTTGCAGAGAGGCAGAGGCACTCCTACAGTTTATCTACATGTAACATAGACATAACTGATTGCTTTGTCATTAAGATAGGCCTGGTTTAGAAAGACCCAGTGAACGTGGAAGTCTATACAGTAGAATTGAGTCCTTACTCAGGGCAGTTTTTACAATTATTGGTACCTAGCTGGTTTTCTCTTGGAGTGTAACTGTTTGTGTTTGGGAATTAAAGATGTGCAATATATAGGTGTGCACTGGTGAAAGCTCAGATTTTTTTGAAGCCTAGTGGGTGTCTGTATATAATAAGCCAGCATGTGATACTAGTAATGCAATTACTTCAACAGTTGGTTAGTTTACTGTAGTACATAAAGTACTTAAGATTATGCAATTCCAGTTACTGAGCTGTAGAAAAGGCTAAAGTGTCTCAAATGCAAAAAAAGCTGCATTATCTAATTCTATATTGTGAGTAGAAGCATGCACAGAATTTTGTGCAAAGCAGTTTGTATGTGTTTCTTTCAGGCACTGGATAACACAGTTCATTATTTCAAAGACATTAGAAAGAAATAATGAGTCAAACTGTGTGATGAATTTTGAAATGATGGACTTCTGTTACCAAAACTGATATGTTTGTATTTTGCATTACAACTGCAAATGCAGTGACTATATGGCTTCTGACTAAATTGTTTTTTTTTTTTCTCTCAGGGTAGCTTCAACCAACCTTAACTATATTAGACCCTCTCTAATATTTTAAAGATTTTGCAGGATGGCAGGAGAGTGGTAAATGGGCTCAAGTGCAAAGATAATCTAAACTTGAATTTCATTAAGAATAAAAGCTGCCAGCATAATCCAGACTTTAAAGGAGGAAACAAATTTGAGATTTCTTTGAGAAATTCTTCTCTAGCCTATACACTTGCTCAGTAAATAATGCTATTTTCAATTCAAGTGGGCTACTTAAAGCAAAAGGTAGTTTTATCACTTAATGCATCAAGCATCCAGCTTCAAGAGTTAGAAGAGTGTATACGACTTTGTACTTTTAGTTCCTTTTATAGGGCTCTTGAAAGGGTATTATTTAAAGAACAAGGTGAGAAATAAGTGAGGCTGTGCACTTCTGAAAGCTAGGCATGTATAAGTGTGTCTGTGTACTTGTGCCAAGAGCAAGTGAAGGAGGCATTATCAGAAACAGAGCTCTGGAACTAGTCAGGTTCATCAGTTAACTTCAGGCAGGCAGCAATGACCTGGCTAAATCATGTGATCTAAACATATGTGATGAAGTTAAGTATGCCCTGCCCTTTATTTGACCCTTTGAGAGGTTAGGTAGAGTGGTGTGGAAGAAATACTTAATGAAAGAGGGATAGGATTTCTTGGTTTCTTGGAAGAGTGCCTATGCAGTGTGGCAAGCTCTACTCCTTTCAGATAAAAGGTATGGGATGGAGAAAGTGTGTGACAAAAAGAAGGGAGATTCAACAGGAAGATCTACAAAATCCCAAACTACCCAAGCCAAACAAAAACCAAGACAACAACAGCCCCCCACCCCTTGTATGAAACTTACTTCCCATATACCCTCTTATTAAAAGTGTGCCTGGAAGAATGCAGAGAGCTTTTCCTTTTTGAAGCAGTTGAGAGAATGTTGGCTATGAATCTTAGATATGTACATACTATATCCTTGCTTCCAGGATAACTGTGTTACTGATATGATGTGCCACGAGGTCTACATTAGAGTCCTGTCTGCCCTTCCCCCCAGTCAGAGGGAATAGCCAGGAAGTTCTTGTTGGAAGGACATTCAGGTGTCTTTTGGTCTTGCTGTTTAGGCTGGTGCAGATGTGAATGTGCTGAATGACATGGGGGACACTCCACTCCATCGTGCAGCTTTCACAGGGCGTAAGGTAAAGTATGGTGCCTTTTTTAAGCCTCACTTGTAGAATTATTAAGTAAATGCTAGCAATAAGATCACTTCAGAAAGATGTTTTTACAGTGTCTAAAAATTACTTATTGTCTGTTTCGGTACAGCATGTTCAGAGGGATTAGGCACATTGCCTAGCTTGTGTAACTCGGTCCAAAAAAAAAAGCCACAGAGAGAAACCACATTGTTTTAATCTTAGTAGCTTCTGGAGGGAAAAGAAATCTCTTAAATTAGGACACACAGGCCCATTTGGTATCTGGAAATGCTGTTTCTTCATAGTTAATTAGAACTAAAGAGGTTTTTATAGGCCTGTGTAATGTGACTTTTTTTCTTCCCCCATGCCACCATCATTCCAAAACTAGTACTAGCTCTGGGTAACATCTTGGCCCTTCAGGAGTGACTACTTTCTGTCTTGTCAGAAGAGCCAGTTATACAATTTTTATATCAAATTCAGCATTCACACCAGGTATACCAGTTCTTCAGGGTCAGTCTGTTCAGCTGTGCCTCCTGTTGGCTCCTTCAGCCTGACTGATGGGAGAGAAAAGGTTACAGTCAGTCTCCCTCTTCAATCTCTCTAAAACATCCCTTCCTGTTCTCATAAGAAACCAGCAGTGGTGAGAGGCCGTTGGTTACAAGGATGTCAATAGCTGGAAAGCCTGATTGTGTCCTTACAGTTGCACAGACAGATAAGCAGTGTTTTTAAAATTGTTTTTCAGGAGGTGGTGATGTTACTCTTACAGCATAATGCTGATCCTTCTATTGTTAACGGCAGTGGAGAGACTGCAAAAGAAGTTACTCATGACAAGGACATAAGGAATATGTTGGAAGGTAACTTCAATAGGCCAAAGTTTGTTTTGGGGTATTTTTACATGTGTGCATTCTAAAAGCTGCTTCTTTTTTATTTTTTTTTTTTTTTTTAATTTTTTCTGCAAGTTACAGAAGTTCAGTTGAATTTTCTTTTTAAATTTGGCTATTAGAAAGAAAATAGTCATAGTTTTTGGTTCTTGTCTGCAGTACTGACAAGTGGGAGTTTTTGTGGCTCAAGAGATAAGTATTATGAATACAAATAGCATTATTCAGGTAACTATTTCAGTCCTGGTGGAGTAGGTAGTCCTTGCTACAGCTTTGAATGGTACATGGGCAGTCAAAGCCTTGGCTCTTTGGAAGAAAAAAACCTCAAGAACGGTAAGTGGCTTTGTGTCAACAAAATCATTAGAGAGAAAAATTCTGAGCTTTGAAGAGGTGACCCAGTTATGATCAGTTTTAGGACTTGCTACCGCAGTCTTAGGCATTGTGTCAAAAGCATAAAAAAATCAAAATCCTTCCCATTGTTTCCTCCATGGTCTCACAGGTGTCAGAGATGAGGCAGATGTTGTCCAAATACTAATCTAGTTCACTGATTATCGTTTTGGAGATTTCAAAAACTGTTGCTTCCTGGTATTACTATGTAATACTCGTAAATACTGATGGAGTTTTGTGTCCACTATCACAGACTGCATATAAGAAGTGATATCTCTTACGATTCTACATGCAAGTGTGCAAACAACTCATTTCCACTGCTCATCTGCTGAATTGTTAGAGAAAAATAAAATTTTGGTAGGGTGATAAGAAGAGTAGAAGAGAATCTGAAAAGAACATAGAGAAGATCTGAAATGGGGGTGTTAGTTCCCATTTTCCCTTCTGCACGGTGTGGCCTTGGTTTTAAGTGTCAAAATAATGATGATAATAATAATAATGTATGTGTATGCAAACTTACACATCTTGTCAAATTTTATGTGCTTTTTTGTGTTTATATCTTTGCTCTGACACAAACTTCTCTGAGTAAATATTCTATTTATGCCTGTCCCAAATAAATAATACTGGAAACTCTTTCTTCTCTAGGCTTGTTTTGCTATAGTTTTTTTGAATGTTGTACCTCATATGTACTCTACTGAGACTGACCTTGCTTCTATTTTTTTTTTCGTAATAGCAGTGGAAAGGACACAAGAAAGGAAACTGGAAGAACTCCTCTTAGGAGCAGCGAGAGAGGGGGAAACAGGGAAATTGACTGCCTTGGTAAGAATTCAAGTCAAGTGATTCAATCCATAATGCAACAAAATATGACTTTGTGCTTTGCACTTCAAAGGCTGTGACTTTGGAATATTAATGCTGTGCACCATGTTATATTGGTAAAGTGCTGAACCCTCAAGGATTTTCCTCTTTCTTGGAGGTTGCAAAACCAACGGTTTTCAGCTTCTTTTGTGTTTTTAAATCCTTTAGAAAGAATTAGCTAGTTAACTGTAAACAGCAGCAAAGGTTTGTGGTCTGCTTAGATAAGCTTATTATGTTATTGTGGATACCTTAGTGTCATGGATGCCTAGATTTTCACCACAGTGTGGCCTGTCTTTAATCTTGAAAGTAAGGTCTTTGTCGTTAGCACCCACTGTAGTTTTTAATGGACAGTCGTCTGCACAGCACAGTTTCATGCTGAGCAGAAATTGGAAACTGTATGTGTGTGTGAGCCCACTCATAGTACTCCCAGATGAACAGTGTGGTGGTATGGGAAGGCTGTGGCAGAAACAATCACAGAAAGACTGGAGGGTGCCTGTGGATGTAATTGAGTCCAGCTCCTGTTTGCAGAGCAGAATGAGCTAGAGAAGGTTGCTCAGGACCAAATCCAGCTGGGTTTTGAAGGGGAGTCCCAGTGCTTGAGCTCAGGCTTTTGAGAGTCCTGAAGAGTGTCCTTGGAAGTAAAATGCGCAGTATGGACTGGTTTCTACCTACTTAGCACCTTTGGTAATGCCTTTTCAGGCATCAAAATTCACAAATGTGAGATTTGTATATTGAGATATTAGATGTTCTTTATTTTTCTGCCTAGAAGCCAGAAGTGAACACCTGTTCACATCTACTTCCCCCTCTAAATTTTTTTCTTATAGCCCAAAGAGCACTCATCTTTCTAACTGCTTGGAAACTCTTGTTAAATTTTTGGTCATCCTTGTAATTCTTATTTGGAGTTTTGTGCTGTCCTCTTTGAAACGGGGAGAGAACCAGAGCTGTACACAGCACCTAAGATGTGGAAAAATGGTGCATTAATACACTGCACAAGTGTACTAATTGTAATTAATATACTGACATAAGTGATCTGTTCTTGATTCTGATAGTTTTAATACTTGATACATGTCTGCTGACTAATCCTTAAGCTAATGTGAAAAAAAACAAAACAGAAAAAAAGTGGCTTCTTATAGAAATTTGTCATTAAAGAGCTCAGCTCTCTCATGCAGCATAGCTCTCTCATGCAGCATTTAACTATGCATGAACATGTAGTTCTCCCTATGAACATTTTCATTTCTAAGTGATTTCCTTTTTTTTTTTTTATATATATATTTGCTATTTTTGAGCTCTGTACATGTGAAGACAGCTATATATTGATTTCTAAAACTTTCCAAACTATTGTCACGTTTTTGACCTGGAGTCAGTTTTAAGTCAATTCTTAACAGGTGTTCCTTGGAATACACTTACAACTCTGTGGTGTAAACCCCTTTGACTTTCCTACCCTTAGGTTAATTACCTCTATGCAGAATTTATGTAGCTCTTTACATAGCTACTATGTGCTATTGTGTAGCACAGCCCTTTAGCTCCAGAATTCCCCATACCTTGCCTTCTAATTGTTCAGACCTTTCTGTTCCTACTTAGATTTTTTTTATTAGCAGACTATTATGCTCATGAAACTTTAGCTGCTTACATCTACCTTTACTGTGACACCTAACACCAGAACATGTTACTTACTAGCAGTTAGATCTTCAGCAGCTGAATCTTAACCCAGGCTCTTTAATCTACTTGAGGCAAAGTGAGTGTGCTCTTCCTGTGAATTCCCAAAAATGTACATTTCCTGAAGTGACTGGAGAGATTTTTATCTCAATGAGTTGATGCATGAAGCTTTCTTCCAAATATTCCCTTGTGACATGGCATAAGGTGCTGAAAGCAGAGACATGGCTTAAAAGGTATGGAGGTAAGAAGTTGGAAGAGAAAGTAAATGTAAAACAGCTGGTTGGAAAGAGCTAAAGCTTAGGAGTCCTCAGGAATGCAAGACTGCAGTGTTAAGGAGGGTATGCTTCCACAAACTCCCTCTTTTTGACTTCTGTTCTCTTACCAGTTGATCTGTAAACAACAGCTATAGTAGTTTATCCCTTTTAGGACTATTTCTGAAATACATATAAGGTGATTGCTGTTGATGTTAACTTAAATTGTGGCTGTGAGAATTCTGTTATTATGGAATAATTTTTCAAAGAAAGCATATGGCTAATGTGAATGCTTAAACTGAGTTTCTCAAAAATTGTTGTCATGCACTTGTGACTCTGGTCTCCTAAGGTTGCTTCTCAGTAACTTAGCCTTTTTATTAAGGCACTCCCATCTGGTTTGGGAGCTTAAGTGATTGATAGTGCATGAAATGGTTTGGGCCAGAAGGGACCTCTACAGATCATTCAGTTCAATCCCCATGTACACATCCAGTAGCCATGTATTTGAGTGGAAGTGTAGTGGTGTTTTAGGGTAGTTAGCAGTGTCATGTTTAATTACCCTTCTCTTTGAAGGTCTCTTTGGTCAGTTTCATAAAACATTTCTATTGTGTGCAAGTAAAACTCAGTTTGGTTTTTTGGGGTGTTTTTTCCCTTGGTTCCATGGCTACTTTTATCATAATAGACTTAAGAATGCAGCAAAACTCTTTGTGTAACAGATAGCCTATTCTAGGAGCTCTAAATGGCCTAGGATATCTGGCATTGGGACTGGCAGGTCTGCCACCCTACAGTTCAAAGTTCTTACTCTCTGAAACAGTGGCTGTACAATTTTTTTGTGGATTTAGCATTGGCTTGTGGTAACTCTGCATTGTGCCTGGGAGTCTTCTATGAAGAACAGTGGATTTCTGACAGTAGAACTGAGCAGGACAATTCTAGCATATAAATGACTGAACTGCAATACTGGGCAACTTTCCCTGGCACTGTGCAGTTGATCAGAAAAATATGTCCATATTGTGCAGCAGAGGTGGAAGGGGTGCAGCAAGAAAAGCACTGAAGTTCTTTACTCTAGCTGAATGTCTTGTTTGATTGTTGCAGTCCCTGCCATTGTCATAACACTTGCTAAATGCACTCTTCATTGCCAGATCTACACTGAAGCATCCTAGTTAGGAACAACTAATTTTCAAAAGGGAGAATGTGGCATCTGGAGAGGGAGGAAAACCAATAAGTAAGCCGAACTTCGTTTTTTTCCAGTTAAACAAGCGGAAGCCACCTGATATCAACTGTACAGATCAGATGGGGAACACTCCCTTGCACTGTGCAGCGTACCGTGCTCATAAGCACTGTGCATTGAAACTTCTAAAAAATGGAGCAGATCCTAGAATAAAAAACAAAAATGGTGAGTATCAAATGAAAAGTATGTTAAGTGGAGACACAAATTCAACATCTTCTGTAAGCTTTGTTACTTATTATGCAGTGTTCAGGGAAAATGTTATAGTGACACAAGCTTTGTGTCACTAATAAAGGAAGGCCAACAGTGCCTAAATTGCAAGAGGCTAAGAACTGTGGCAAAATACTTATTGTATGTGCTTTTATTTTCCAAGCTTAGCTGACTCTGGAAAGTTTACTCACTGTCTTAACAGTGAAATATGCCTGCCTTTTTTTTTTCTTGATACTAAACGTTGAACACAGGTAACAAAAAAAGCAAAATTGAAATTGTGGCTGGGTCAAAGTGACTCCTCAGAAGAAGGCTTCTAATGAAACTAAAAAGGGGAAAACTTGATGCAGAAGTTATGCAAACTGTGTTCTTGTCCTATGTTTAAGGATGCCTCTGTCTTGGTATTTGTGAGTGTCCTAAACTGTATTTTATAGCTGGCAGCTAGAAACAAATTTAAATCAGTATGGGCTCTCTGCAGTTAGTAGAACTCTGACAAGCAGTGCAGTGCCTTAAAGTTCAATACCTTTTTTAGTCTTCTGTCCTTGAGGGGTTCACCAGTTCCAAGTAAGCATAGATGCTTGGAGGCCAAACTGATGGGTAAAGAATGTCAAATTATTTTAAAGTACATCTAAGTTTATTTGCATCAAATTCTCATTCCTTGTCTTGTTACTAAACAGATCAGACACCCCTTGATCTAGCCCAAGGTGCAGAAATGAAACTGATACTGGCAGGTAAAACTGGAAAGGTAGGAACTTTGGTATCAATTTAAAATGCCAAGGCTGTCTAGTTGAAGCTATTCCTATATGAGCTTTCATTTCTGTGCAGGTTATCAACAAGCCCCTGAGACGATATGAAGGTCTCCTATGGAAGGTATGGCTTATTTCCTTTTCTAAAATAGCTTGTAAGATTTCAAAGTATGTCAGTATGTCCTTTTTCTATATTTCAGTGATAACTGATGAATGAATGCAATAGTACTTAATAGTAATTTAGTCTAATACGTATAGATGGGCTGACTGAGTGGAGCAGCTACTAGATTCATGGTACCCTGATCTTAGGCTCAGTCTCTAAAATCTCTATTTCTTGCTAATTTTTGTGGCAAAGCTTCACTGCAATAAGGCTTTTTTCCTTGTCTATGTGGTGGGCAAAATGCCTTTTGTTTTTTTTTTCCATGATAGATTACTTTGATAGTCTGTGACTGATACATTGTCTTTAAGAGACTGTGACTAATATTTTGGTATCGCCTTCTGAAAATTTTAAAACTTAGTGGGAAGTAGCATTCAATGAGTTTAAAGCTCATTTTGCTGAGTTGCTCAAGTGTATCGAAGGTCTACATGAATGCTTAATTATGTTGCTCAATGAAATCTTTAAAGTTTTCTTCAGTGTAAATTTTCCTATATCACAATTGTAATATAAGGAACTGTTCTTAATTGAGAACTGTGTACTATATCTTGAGAAAGATAAAATGTTGTAGTTGGATATCTCAACGTGTTTTGTTTCTCACTTGATTTTATAAAATAGAGCTGTGTGGTGACCAACAATTCCTGTAATACTAAAAAATGCAACATTTTAATATTTCAGTTCTTACTGAATCACAGGCTCAACTTTTATGTTCAGGTGGTTCCAAAAACAAGGGTAGCGCTGCACTTGTAAAATACTGTCAGGTTGCTGTGATCATCAGGATATGCAGAAATTAAAAGGTTTTTGTAACATTTCCTAGTTTTAAGTGTTAAGGAAGCATCTCTGTCTGACCATGCAGGAGTCACTCTCTCCACCACACTTCTTCCACCAGAGGCTTTTAACTGCTGGGACCAAAGCCCCTTTGCAGTTGGTGGCTCCAATGAGTCCGCAGGTGCCCAGCTTGGTTCCCTAAACTTGCCATCCTCAATCAGACAAGGTTTTCTTACTGACTTTCCCATGGCTGAGTCTCAGATGTCTGGATCCTTACTTTAATCATTGTGAAATAACAAAATAGCAGCTTGAATTGGTGCCTCTGAGGAGGTACCCAAACAAAGGGTACCTCCCTTTGTTGTACTTGTACAAGTGTGTGAAAATCTGGAGTCTTCCTGCTGAGTCCTCGGCTCACAAGTCCCTGTGCCCTTGGCTAAGCAAAGGGTCTTTGCCACTTCATGGTCTCTTGTCTCAGGCTCTTACCACCCAGAGCTCAATTCTGAAGCTGCACACTGAGCTGTCTGTACTAAAAGTGTCCTGTTAAGTGTTCTGTTAAGCTTACCTGGCTTTTTCTTTTTTCCCCCTTTTAGAGCTCACGGTTTTTTGGTTGGAAACTCTACTGGATAGTTCTAGAACACGGAGTGCTTTCCTGGTATCGGAGACAGTAAGTTCTGTGTTTAAGTTTCTGAAAAGCAATTTAAGTAATTCCTGTCTTCACTAAATCTCTTCTTCTTTCAAAGAGCTGATGCAGTGAACAATGATCATCGTCAGGGATGCAAGCATCTAACACAAGCTGTCTGCACGGTAGGAAGTGAAATGTGTTGTAACTACTGAGTTGGTTTTTTTATGTTCCATTGTATTCCATTCCTGGTTAATGAAAACTTCCGCTGGATTGGTAAGCCGATCTTTGTTATAAAATAGGGAGAAAGCTTGTGCTGTTGAAAGAAATGCTTGTTCCTGTCCAGCAAAGTGTTCTTTTATGTAAGGTGGCCATAAAGCTCCCTCATTGCTTTCTAAAGTCTTGAAGATTTAGACACACAAGGCATCCTGAAAGCAGACTGGGTCAGTTTGAAGCATGTGATCTAGAATAGCCAAAGCTCCAGTTCCTCCTTAGCTGTCCCTGGCTGCTTGTGACTGATTGCATAACTTAAGCTGATCTCAGTTGCAAGACTAATCAATTTTAAAAGTGACTTTTGGAAAACTTCCCTGATTTCCATTATGCTTGTGGGAATCCATTTTGGAAGGGGTGAACAGAGAAAACGAAGGCCAGGTGTCATTTATAATGCCCAGAAAGATGAAGTGTTTAAGGAAAATGCATTTAAGATAACTTCCATATTTCTATAAATGCCCTATCCAAATTTGGCACCACAAGTTCTGTTAAACTGCACTTATATATACACTCATGTGGAAAAATGACTTGCTTTCCAGTATCTTCAAATTCCTTAATATTGGTGACCTTGAACTGTTGCTGTAGTTTTGTCTGAATCAAGTGGTGCAAATAAATACAAATACCATATTTAGACATAGGAACCTCTACATTACTATTCATAATGTAATGGAAACTGTTCTGACCAAAGTTTTTCTAAATTACAATTACTTGGATCAAAACTGAGGCAAGTACTTCTGAGTTAAGAGTAATTTTCTACTTTGTTTACACTTAATTTTTTTTCTGATTGATTCATTAAACTAATTTTGAGTTTTCTCCACCTTGCTCTAGGTAAAATCTACAGACAGTTGCTTCTTTTCTGTCAGATGTTTTGATGACACTGTTCATCGTTTCAAGATTCCTAAAAATAGCCTTCCTTCTCAAACTAGAGAGGTAATAATGACTCTTTATCGAAGGCATTAATACACAGTAACTTCTGTAGTGAATAATTTTCATACTACTTGCTATGGATGCATGAGTATCAGCATGTTTCATACTTTGATCATCAGGACTTGGTAGCTTAAGTGCAGATATTAAATCTTTTAGCATGTTTATAGATTAAACAGCACAAAATTGACCCATTGTAATTATCTCTTCTTTAAAATAAGTGCTACCTTTTTTTCCAGCTCTGTGCCTGTATTATGCCCTGTTATCTAACTTCCTGCTTTTCATTCCCTTCTCCATGTGGTAAATTTCTATTGCAGACTCCTTCTGTTGCACTTTCATGGTTCATTATCCCAAACAAAAGAACTTTTGATGGTACATTCTACTCTTAACTGTACTCCCAGATGAACTAATAAATTTTATTTTCTGAAAAGGTGGCTCTGAAACAAAAGACTTTTATTTATTTTTTTTAATTTTTTTAGGGCTATTTGTAGTATATTCACTGTTGTACTTCTACAAGTGTACTAACTAGAGATGGAGTTGGGTTGGAGGCAACAGGATTGCTGGAGTGCTGTGTCTAGTTTTGGGCTTCTCACAACAAGAGAGATACAAACATACTAAAGAGAACCTAACAAAGGGCCATTAAGGTGATTGAAGGGATCAGAGCATCACTTCTCCTAGGAAAAGCTGAGAGAGCTGGGACTGCTCAGTCTGGAGAAGGGCAGGCTCAGGGAAGCTTGTCGATGTCTGTAAATGCCTGAGGAGAGGTGCAAAGAGGGACAGAGCCAGGCTCTTTTCAGTTGTGCCTGGTGACAGGACCAGAGGCAATGGGCACACACTGAAGCACAGGAGTTTCTCTCTGGACATGAGAAAGAAGTGTGAGGGTGACCATGCACTGGCACAGGGGGTCCAGAGCAGTTGTGGAATCTCCATGCTTGAAGATTTTCAAAAGCCATCTGGATATCCTGGCCTGCCAGCTCTAGGGTCTGGGCCTTCTTTAGCGGAGGGGTTGGACTAGATGATCTTCAGAAGTCCCTGCCAGCCTCAGCCACTCTGTGATCCAATGACCAGGAAAAGAATCTACCTCTTAGTTATGATAGTGCTTGAGGTTTTGTCATGCATAAGAAGGCATCCCTTTGTCTCAGGGACTTTGCTGCCTAAACAGAAGCCCAGAGATGCAAAATATATTCCCTACAGTCCTTTAATTAATAGGATTTTTTTATGTGACCCTGGATAGACTGAGGAGTGGGTTACATTTGCGCTTAACGGCTAATAAGTCTGTGGTACTCTGCCCACAGGGTATTTAATTTGCAATATGTTAGGTTCTCTAGCAATCTATTTCTTGCCTATTGAGATGTCTCATTTTACTAATGACTATCTTACTTATATCATGAGAAAATTTTGTTCTTCTGCTTCCATGATAGCTTGTTTTGGGGATGACCTTTGAAATGTTTATTAATTCTGTTTTTATTTTTCCAGAGCTGGCTGGAAGCAATAGAAGACCACTCTGCATATAGCACTCATTACTGCACACAGGAACAGCTGAGTAGTGATGATGAAGATGATGCAATATCTGTTACAGACCTACAGGACACTCTGAAAGTACGTACTGAATACTTCCTTGGCTCATGGATCTGGGCAGTTGCAGATTAGTATTGTTCTGTGTTGAAATACTTAGATATGCCTTTGACTAAAAGTGATGATTCCTCCTGTGGATGAGTAAATGCTGCTTGTGTTTGCATTGCTTGCTGTCATGTATTCCTGCACAGACTGTGTGCCTAAAATGACGTATTTATCTGAGCTACAGGGCTGTGGTTTCACTTTTGCCACCACTACTGTAAGATAGAAAGCTCTGTTTGGGAGTTTCAGCCAGGAGAGGGAGCTTTGTGTACTGTACTTGTTATTCTGCAGTCTCAGTGTCACCAAAGGTAACCCACATCGAGCTCTGCCTCTACAGAACAGGCAAAGAAGTGTTTTAGAAGTGATCTTTTATCACCTCAGATGCACTGTACAGTGACTGCTCATACCTGCAATGGAAATGAGTAGTTTTTGGTAATTCTAGTGTTCAGATTCTTGCGTTTTGCTATACATGTACTGTTAAACCCTTCTATTTTAAGGGAAAGTTGATGCTGCAGTGAAAAAAACTTCATGTGGCTGAACTCCAAGCAGCTTGTACCATTTCTTTTAGTACAAGAACTTAAAGTAGCTCATGGCATAGCAGAGGTGGGAGGATAACTGGCGCTGGCAGTCCCCAGCACCCTACAGAAGATGGTATTATTTAATAGATAACAGTGCACTTGAAGCCCAGAAGACCAACTGCATCCTGGGCCACATCAAAAGCAGAGTAGCCAGCAGGGCAAGGGAGGCGATTCTGCCCCCATCTTCTGCCTCATAAAACCCCACCTGGAGTGCTGCACCCAGCTCTGGGTCCTCAGCACAAGAAAGATGTGAACATGTTTAGAGCAGGTCCAGAGGAGGGCCACAAAGGGGTTCACTGGGAATGAATGAGCACCTCTCTATTGAAGACAGGCTGAGAGAGCTGGAGAAGCAAAGGCTTCAGGGAGACCTCACTATAGCCTTCCAGTTCTTAAAGGCAGCTTATAAAAAACAGGGGCAGTGACTTTTTACGCAGGCCAACGGTGTAACAGTGATTACACACTAGATGCAGTTGTGATAGGATAAATAGGAAGAGGAGAGATTTTGTTTTGATATTGGGAAGAAATCCTTTACTCAGAGGGTGGTGAGGCACTGAAACATCTTGTTGAGGGAAGCTGTGGATGCCCCATCCCTGGAAGCAGCAACAAGGTCAGGTTGGATGGGGCTCTGAGCAACCTGGGCTAGTAGAAGGTGTGGTTGGCCAGGGGCTGGTACTAAATGATCTTTAAGGTCTCTTCCAACCCAAGCCATTTTATGGTTTCATGATAACTGTCTCCAGGTTTGAATGTGGGCTTGAAATATGATCTTGGGGTCTGTTTCTGCATGTCCCTGTGCTTGCCGTTTATTGGTTAACCCGTGAATGTGCTTATTTTGTCCTTAAGTTTCTCAAAGAACAAGGACTTGCTCTTCCCGGATTTTTAAACTGCTTAATTAAGAATGAGGGAAAGTGCAAAAGTAGCACATACAACAAAGCTTTGGGGGTTAATTTGCTACATTAAGTTAAACAAAATCTGGCCAGTGATAAAATGTTCATAAATATTTTGTTTGCTTGTGTGTCTTTGAAAGTACTTTAGATAATTTGTTTCAGTTTTAATATATTAGTCTCTGGGCTGGGAATCTTTGTTAATTTAATGCTGTCCAAATTTTGTAATTTCAGTATAGTAAAGAAAGAAAAGATACACTTCCCTTAAAACAAGGCACTTCTGAACAAGCTATCCTTGTTGTCTTTCAGAAAGCACAAGCATGCCAACAAAGACTCAGTAAAGAGGTTTCAGACTTCCTTGCAATGGTTAAATCTTTGGATGCTACAAAAGGTAAAGCTTATTCATTTAAAATGTCATTTGTTGCCAAGCAACTGACTTTTTATTTTTTTAACAGGATGCTTTTATTTCCCCAAAATCAAATTTTCAGGAGCTTGAAAATAGAGGACAATTTTCCCCATGAAAAAAAATTCAAATAAAGTAGCATTATAGTAATTGCTAACAATTAAGATTTCAGATTTGGAGAAACAACTAAGAAGTATGCTGATTGAAAGAAATTTTATTAGCAGCTGTAAATGCAATGAAACTGCCTCTAGCTGTAGTCCTTAATGAGTAGTATCGTAAAAATATAGCACAGGAGTCTGCTTTCAAGGATTTAAAAATAAAAAATCTGTAGTTACTATCTTATTGGAGTGCATAAGTGTCTCCTCACAGGTACAAAGAGCAGTGAAATCATAAAACTATACAGAGAACTGAAGGCATGGTATGATGGGACATACTCCTGGTATGATCTGTCCCATCATGGTATGATGGGACAGATTCTGCCACGACTTTTATGCCAGATTTGAACTTCTCAGGTTTCATTTCAAGTTATAATTCTTAACATATACCTGGATTTTTGCAGCATAACTGCAAAAATATATCACAGGCATCAAGATGCTAGAGGTTTGTACTTGTTTTATTAAATGCCTTAAACATGTACAGAAGTTATTCATGTATTAAACACAAAAAGGAGTTCTATAAGAACATCTGACTGTTGGTCCTTTGGGCCTGAATCCTAGTTATATATTGTGGCTAAAATTAGGAAGCTCAGATTAGAGAACAAGTTGTTTGTCTATACAGATCCCTAGTCTGTACTAGAATATCAGTTTCCAAAAGAAAAAAATCATTCTTTCATCCCTGTGCCTTTCCAAAAGGAGGCTAAAATACAGCTTTTTTTCCACTTGCTGCTGGGATAAGTTACTCCCTGATATTACCCTGTCTTTTTCATAAACTGAATTCTACCAGATTTTTATTTCACAGGGCAAAGGGACATTTCATAATGTATATGAGTGTCTTATTTGGAAGGTTTTGTAATTACTATTACAGTAAAACTGAATTCTTCACAAAAAAACCCCTCAGTTTGAAAATTAGTATAAGGTGGATAAATTCCCTTTGGTAGCTACAGAGGCAGTTTCCCTGACTCCATAATGCTGACCTGAAGAACCAGTGAGGTGCTTTTATAAACAAGAAAAACATTTTTGAAAAAGATGGATAAACAACTGATTCCCATAGTAAAGCAAAAGCAGATAGTATAGATAGTATCTCCTTCCTAGAAATTGCTAGTCTTGCCCAATAGCAGTAATAAGTTCCTGTTTTCCTTCCAATGAATGTTTGTAACTTGCTAGGTCAGTGAACTGTTTCTGGGTTCATGTGTAACTTCTATAGGTCACAACATGAACTGCTCTAGTTCTCCCATTGTTGTGGTATTTTTAAAGTATTTGAATCCTCTGGCTCCAGAAGAATGTAAACTTCTGAGTTAGAAACCCTTCTATGTGGGGTTTTCCCTAAACACATTTGAGTAATATGAAAATGGCTATGTTGGCACCTGATATTTAAAATTCTGTCCCTGTTTCAACATGCTGTTCTGAGCCCAGTTATCTTTGAGACTTATGCATCTTGTATATTAAAAATAAAGATGTCTCCTGCACTCAGTGCTGCCCCTTCTAGAGGCACTAGCTGTTTTTAGCAGCTGCTCTAAGAGTCAGTTTTGAGTCAGTGGTGAGCTCTGGTATCAGAGACCACAATTAGTGTGTGGATATGTGCTGTATCTTGTCCCGAATAAAGCAGTATAAGTTCAAAAATAAATTCAGGTACTATCAGTGATGGACTTCTTAATCTCAAGTGGTGTGACATCAGCTTGAAGCACTTGTGTTACTAAATGGTGTCAACTGATCCTGGAGTCTGCAGGCACTAAACGTTGCAATTATTTTAATTACAACAACTATGCTTCCTGAGAAATTTGCTTTCCTGATTTCCGAGGGATTGCTGCACATCACAAAACTTCACAGATTGACTCAAATAATTTATACCAGCTTATTGAGTTATCATGACTTCCTGCTGGTTATAGACATGCAGTCCCTTCTGTAAATGGAAGTCAGGATATGAGGTGACAAGCTGTACTACTTAGACATGAGTCCATGAAAATAAGATCTTCCCCTTTAATTGTTCAAGGTGCTTGTAGTTACAGCTCCATCTATTTTTTTCAAACCTAAATTTACAGCTGCACTGAGTGTTGTGGCAAGCTCTTTGTCTTCTATATAATACATGGCAGAAATCAAAAAAATGTACATTTTACACTTTAATTTATGTTAAACCAGTGCAAAACCCTGTTTATTTAAGTTCTGTCATCTAAAGCTTTAAAAATCTAGAAAGTAGTTAAAAGGAGGTTGTTGCTAGTCCCTTTTCCAAGTGTCCTGCTGCCATGGCTTACTGCCTCTGCTTTCTAAACTGTGCTGAGACTCGATCTATTCATGTGACTCTTATACCAGTACTAGGGAAAGGATGCAAAAAAAAAGAAAACCTCCCACAGATCTTGCAATGCATCAGCCTTCCTGTAGCATTTGAATGTTATGTCTGTATCACTTAGAGGAAAAAAATAATTTAAAGAATCCTGTAGTTTACAATGTCCTTCTAACATTACTAATATTTTTATGCTTCCAGGAATATCTTCTCCCCTCCTGCAGAAAGTTGATGTGGTCTCTGAAGTATCCCAGGAAACATGTGAGGCTCTGTCTGAGTGCCTCACCCTATTCACAAAGCAAGAAGGGGTATGTATTGTGCTGTGTGGGTCTATAAGGGGTTGAAGAGCTTAGCATGTTTGGCTAGTTCCCTGCTTACCTGTTACAAAAAGAAATACACAAGCCCATACAACTTCATGTTGCTGGTAAGCTGTCCTTTTGCATACTGAATGGGACAAAAATTCATTCTTCTAGAGAGAGAGTAGGTATATGCCTTGGCAAAAGGATGTCTTAGTATTTGGGTGTTCAGAAAAGAGACATTTTGGTTACAAGCTACTGCTTGCGATGTTCAAACTGAATGTTTGAATTCAATAAAGCTGTTGCTTTGCTGATTTGAAGGTCAAAATATTGAGAAAATTAGTTTTCAGAATTTTTTAATTTTTACTAGCTAACTGAAGTGTTGAACAATATTGCTTCTGAATTTGTTTTTCAGACCATGTGCTTAGTGGGTGTGCAAATGCTATTTGTTGAACTTCTGGCTTTCTCAGTGACAAATATCTTGTATAGTGTTATACATAGAGCAAACACTTCAGTTTGGGAATATATGTCAAATTCACTAGTTTCTAGAGCAGGAGAGCTGGTATTTTTCTTCCTTCTTGCAGATGCCCTAGTACCACAGAATAAACTTGTCTTCCTATACTGTGGTAGCTATAATCCCTGGGTTAGGCTTTTACTCTACTGTCATCAGTTCCCTCTACTGTCATCAGTAAGCTGTGTTTCAAAATGAGGTTTGTGTTGGTGTTGTTGGTCTTCCAGTTATTTAACAGTGAGCTACAAACACTGGCTCCATTGTCTAGGTTTGGGTTTTTTTTCATTCCCTTCCAAGTCCTTTCTCTCCAGTCACGAGTCTTTTAGACTTACTTAAGTTCTAGCAGAGTGGAACAAGCATTGGTTTTTTTTTTATATTGAGTTCTTTCCTTAAGAAAGTCTGATATTAAAGTTGCCGGCTTCATTTGCGGATGAGGGGGAAATTGTTACAACAGTGGGTGTATAGTGTTACTTAGTATTCCTTAACTGTGTTGGCATCTTGCTTCAAACCAGACTAAAATAGCTTTCCAGAGTGGAGTATGGCAAAACATATGGTGAAATTGTAATTTCACCTTACTTGAACTTGAATAGTCTCAGTAGGTGTAATAGAGGCCTTATTTTAATCTGGAAGAGCATAGATTTGGGCACAGAGGGATAGGGTGAGGTGTGAACTTGATTTTCCACCAGAGCTAGTGAAATCAGTCGGTCATAACAGGGACAAGATGTGATCCAAGTTTTTTGTCTTGGTATTTTTAAACTTCAGCCTACTGAGTTCAGGAATATAGTGCAGGCTTTTAAAGATGCTATAATCTGTTCCCTAAGACTTGCAGCTTTCCAAGAAGCTACATTCATTGATCATTACTGTTCTTAAACCCACAGCATTTGGCTTTGTTGTCCTTTATAAGTCCTGTTCCTGTCCTTTATAAGGGCCCTGTTCTTTGCTGTTCAGTATTGATTTCTAGACTGTTGTTCTGCTGGCATTTGAAAAGCGATATGTATAACCTTGCAATTGTGTTGTGCATGTCCCATGAAATCTGGTTATCCCTAGAACTAACGTTTTCTCCAGCCTGGTGCTTTTTTATCTTGCTTCTTTAAGGAGAATCCTTTTTCCCTCTAATTTAAATTGTCAGCATACCAAAAGCTACTGCTTGACTAATGAGGAGAGGCTCCTCACTTCACTAAGGATTATCACAGTGAACGCACTTTCGGCTCTCTAGAGAAAACTTAGTGTTACTTATCACTGTGCCTTGGCAGTTGTAGTATAATCGCGCAGTCTGCGGATGAAACTGCTAACGCAGCACTAAAACCGCTTCACCCGTCTTCCACTTGCTCTAGAAATGGTGCATGAGCGTGATCTCCGATCGCTCCATCTGTCCGCTGCTTTTCCTTCCCCGCGGTGCGGGGCTGGGAGCGCGCTGCG